ATGGTGCCAGGTTTCCTCCAGACGTGACGCATGGCATTCAGGACAAAGAGTTCAATCTTGGTTTCATCAGACCAGAGAATGTTGATCTCATGGTCTGAGAGTCTTTAGGTGCCTTTTGGCAAACTCCAAGCGAGCTGTCATGTGCCTTTTACTGAGGAGTGACTTCCGTCTGGCCACTCTACCATAAAGGCCTGGTTGGTGGAGTGCTGCAGAGATGGTTGTCCTTCTGAAAGGTTCTCCCATCTCCACAGAGGAACTCTGGAGCTCTGTCAGAGTGACAATCAGGTTCTTGGTCACCTCCCTGAACAAGGCCCTTCTCCCCTGAATGCTCAGTTTGGCCGGGCGGCCAGCTCTAGGAAGAGTCTTGGTGGTTCCAAAGTTCTTTCATTTAAGAATGATGGAGGCCACTGTGTTCTTGGGGACCTTCAATTCTGCAGCAATACCCTTCCCCAGATCAACACAATCCTGTCTCGGAGCTCTACGGACAATTCCTTCGACCTCATGGCTTGATTTTTGCTCTGAATTGCACTGTCAACTGTGGGACCTTATATACACTGCTCAAAAAAATAAAGGGAACACTTAAACAACACATCCTAGATCTGAATGAATGAAATAATCTTATTAAATACTTTTTTCTTTACATAGTTGAATGTGCTGACAACAAAATCACACAAAAATGATAAATGGAAATCAAATGTATCAACCCATGGAGGTCTGGATTTGGAGTCACCCTCAAAATTAAAGTGGAAAACCACACTACACGCTGATCCAACTTTGATGTAATGTCCTTAAAACAAGTCAAAATTAGGCTCAGTAGTGTGTGTGGCCTCCACGTGCCTGTATGACCTCCCTACAATGCCTGGGCATGCTCCTGATGAGATGGCGGATGGTCTCCTGAGGGATCTCCTCTCAGACCTGGACTAAAGCATCCGCCAACTCCTGGACAGTCTGTGGTGCAACGTGGCGTTGGTGGATGGAGCGAGACATGATGTCCCAGATGTGCTCAATTGGATTCAGGTCTGGGGAACGGGCTGGCCAGTCCGTAGCATCAATGCCTTCCTCTTGCAGGAACTGCTGACACACTCCAGCCACATGAGGTCTAGCATTGTCTTGCATTAGGAGGAACCCAGGGCCAACCGCACCAGCATATGGTCTCACAAGGGGTCTGAGGATCTCATCTCGGTACCTAATGGCAGTCAGGCTACCTCTGGCGAGCACATGGAGGGCTGTGCGGCCCCCCAAAGAAATGCCACCCCACACCATGACTGACCCACCGCCAAACCGGTCATGCTGGAGGATGTTGCAGGCAGCAGAACATTCTCCACGGCGTCTCCAGACTCTGTCACATCTGTCACATGTGCTCAGTGTGAACCTGCTTTCATCTGTGAAGAGCACAGCGTGCCAGTGGCGAATTTGCCAATCTTGGTGTTCTCTGGCAAATGCCAAACGTCCTGCACGGTGTTGGTCTGTAAGCACAACCCCCACCTGTGGACGTCGGGCCCTCATACCACCCTCATGGAGTCTGTTTCTGACCGTTTGAGCAGACACATGCACATTTGTGGCCTGCTGGAGGTCATTTTGCAGGGCTCTGGCAGTGCTCCTCCTGCTCCTCCTTGCACAAAGGCGGAGGTAGCGGTCCTGCTGCTGGGTTGTTGCCCTCCTACGGCCTCCTCCACGTCTCCTGATGTACTGGCCTGTCTCCTGGTAGCGCCTCCATGCTCTGGACACTACGCTGACAGACACAGCAAACCTTCTTGCCACAGCTCGCATTGATGTGCCATCCTGGATGAGCTGCACTACCTGAGCCACTTGTGTGGGTTGTAGACTCCGTCTCATGCTACCACTAGAGTGAAAGCACCGCCAGCATTCAAAAGTGACCAAAACATCAGCCAGAAAGCATAGGAACTGAGAAGTGGTCTGTGGTCACCACCTGCAAAACCACTCCTTTATTGGGGGTGTCTTGCTAATTGCCTATAATTTCCACCTGTTGTCTATTCCATTTGCACAACAGCATGTGAAATGTATTGTCAATCAGTGTTGCTTCCTAAGTGGACAGTTTGATTTCACAGAAGTGTGATTGACTTGGAGTTACATTGTGTTGTTTAAGTGTTCCCTTTATTTTTTTGAGCAGTGTAGACAGGTGTGTGTCTTTCCAAATCATGTCCAATCAATTGAATTTACCAAAGGTGGACTCCAATCAAGTTGTAGAAACATCTCAAGGATGATCAATGGAAACAGGATGCACCTGAGCAAATTTTTGAGTCTCATAGCAAAGGGTCTGAATACTTATGTAAATACGTTTTTATTTATTTATTTTTATTATAAATTAGCAAAAATGTATAAAACCTGTTTTCGATTTGTCATTATGGGGTATTGTGTGTAGATATATGAGGATTTTATTTTATTTTATCTATTTTAGAATAAGGCTGTAACGTAACAAAATGTGGAAAAAGTGAAGGGGTCTGAATACTTTCCGAATGCACTCCATATAGCTCTGTAGCTCTGGAGGACTGACCCCATGTAGAGATTTTAACACAAAGCAGGCACACATACACACACATGCATAATCACACACGGGCCCGCCTGCCAGCCCACCCGCATGCACTCACACACACGCACGCACGCACTCACGAACATACACACACCTGCTGCTTGTTCTCCTTGGAGTAGGGTAGCATGGTGGAGACATGGAACATCAGCTCATGGCCCTGGTACACTGTGTAGATGGAGTTCATTCCTGTAGTGTCATCTGGAGAGAGAGGGGGAGGGGGGAGAGAGCGGAGGAGAGAGAGAGGGGGACAGAGGGGGGAAGGGGGAGGGAGGGAAGGAGAGAGGGGGAGGGAGGGAGAGAGGGGGGAGGGAGGGAGAGAGGGGTAGGGAGGAAGAGAGGGGGGAGGGAGGGAGAGTGAGAAGGATAGAGCAGTGGGAGCAGAAGAGGAAGGGGTGCGTAGGCAAGAGTGAGAGAAAGAAAGAGGGAGAGAAATATTAAAAGAGAGAATGTGAATGAAAGACATCTCCATGGTCTGTTGCAATGGAAAAACAATCATTAATAGCAGAACCCTTGGTGTGTGTGTGTGTGTGTGTGTGTGTGTGTGTGTGTGTGTGTGTGGTGTCCAGGTCTTACTCTTGGTATCCAGCCCACCGCGGTAGCCTGCCCAGCCCTGCAGGGAGATGGTGTCACCCAGGAGGTTGAGGAATTTATCGAAGCTCTGGCTCCCAGTCTCTGAAGGAACAAATGAAAGAGCAGGGTTCAAACTACAACTCATAGGACATTGATACTTCAAATACCTATTACTCACAATATTAGTGACTTACCGTTGCTAAACATCTCATCGTCTGTGAGCTGTCCATCTTTGGCATACAGGACACCGAATTTGAAGTTGACAGAACCCTGACAAAAGATAAGACAGATATATTGTACATCTAAGGTGCCACTATTCACTAACGTTAACTTATGGGACACTTTTATTGTCTACCAAAACCATAAAAACATCCCTGGTAGAAAAGGAGAAGGAAATCTCTAGTAAGACCATGGTCAACACCAATAACTACAATATCCACTTGAATGATATTTATAAAAGAATAAATAAATTAATACCTCTTGCTCCTCCAACACCAGTAGGTCCTATGAAGAGAAAACACACCACAGTTATCATCAGTTGCCCCTCCAATGACTCCGATGACTCGGAAATGACTCCCAATGTCCAATGACTCCTAATCTCCAATGACTCCCAATCTCCAATGACTTCCAATGTCCAATGACTCCCAAATGACTCCCAATCTCCAATGACTCCCAAATGACTCCCAATGTCAATTGACTCCCAAATGACTCCCAATCTCTAATGACTCCCAAATGACTCCAAGACCTGTTACAGTATGGGGCTAATACCATAGAAATAGAGTTAGTACATGACTATTATATACAGATGTAGGCTCTTAATTTGACCTGTATTGTCAAAGCAAAATAATCCTGCAGAAACAGGATTTGAACGTTTAGTCCATAATGTTGCTTGATCCGTTTTTACTACGAAAAGCCAGAGACGGCGATAGCTATTAGCTATCCAAAAGTAGGCTACATGAAAAGTGCAATACTGTTAACATAACCGTGTTTTAGTGTGGGTTTTCAGTGAATTTATGTAAATCACAAAGCTCATCTGCATTTCTAGACCTGCTGCCGCCAGATGGCGCTATTATTCCTTACGTCGTTTGTCATCCGTCACTGACGTCCTGCAAAGCCATTAATACACTTGTGTCCCCCGTTGACCGGTTCATACATAAAACATCCTCCAGTCAGGCTGCAAAGATATTGGTTTCCTCTTTAAATTGATTTAATGGCCTGTTGGTGGAAAACAACGGGGGAAATACGCCTACTGTCTTAATAAAACACAATTTTCCACCACCATGCTAGAGTGGCTAATGCTACTTCCTGATGTTGCCCACTGCGTTCAGCCTGGGGTAAACAACAGACTGACACGGTGTGCAACATCCGTAAATTGTCTGAAAAACAAAAATGGTGGTGGAGAATTTTGTTTTATTAAGCTGGTACGCATATTTCCCTGTTTTTTCCACCGATGGGCCTTTAAATCGAGTTAAGGAGGAAACCGACGCCTTTGCAGCCTGAATGGAGGATGTTTTATGTATGAACCGGTCGCCGAACGATAGTGGAGAATAGCGCCCATAGCGGCAGGAAAATTCTCAGCAACAAAAAAGTGAACAAATAAAGATCCTACATCTGTATGTCTGTGGCTGATACAGTGTGATCTCACCTTCTGTTTGTCTGTGGCTGATACAGTGTGATCTCACCCTCTGTATCTCTGTGGCTGATACAGTGTGATCTCACCTTCTGTATCTCTGTGGCTGATACAGTGTGATCTCACCTTCTGTTTGTCTGTGGCTGATACAGAGTGATCTCACCTTCTGTATCTCTGTGGCTGATACAGTGTGATCTCACCCTCTGTATCTCTGTGGCTGATACGGTGTGATCTTACCTTCTGTATGTCTGTGGCTGATACAGAGTGATCTCACCTTCTGTATCTCTGTGGCTGATACAGTGTGATCTCACCTTCTATATCTCTGTGGCTGATACAGTGTGATCTCACCTTCTGTATCTCTGTGGCTGATACAGTGTGATCTCACCTTCTGTATCTCTGTGGCTGATACAGTGTGATCTCACCTTCTGTATCTCTGGGTTGAGAATCTCCCTTGGGCCTTTCTCAAACCTGTCCAGGTTCATCGCACTGCAGGGGGAGGAGAGCAGAGGATAGGAGGAGAGGAGAGGGGGAGAGGAAGAGGAGGAGAGGAAGAGGAGGAGAGGAAAAGTTCAGGAGAGGAGAAAATATAAGTGTTTTAAAGACGGGTTTACAACATTCCATTCCATGATTATCTTAAGGCATATGTTCATGTTGTTGTTCATTTAAATACAACAGACTACATATTACATATCCATATTGAATTTCTCCATGTGTTTTTAGCCTGATTCATTGGTCATATCTTAGCCTGGTCCCATGTCTGTTTGTGCTGTCTTGCCAATGTGTGACAATGACTATAGGAGTTGAAAAGACAGCACTAACAGATCTGGGACCAGGCTAGTCAGAACGATCTATGAAACAAACAATGTTTTGAATGGCATCCTGAGCAGTGCTCACCTTAAGATGGATTTAACTGATAGTGTTTTGGTAGGGCTGTATGGCAGACTGATCTTCAGTGTACCCTGGGGGAGAGAGAGGAGAGGAGAGGAGAGGAGAGGAGAGGAGAGGAGAGGAGAGGAGAGGAGAGGAGAGGAGAGGAGAGGAGATTATCTCAGGTGTGGATGTAGAAAGTAATCATCATGATTAGTCTAATCATCTACCTGAACAGAAGATAGACCTCCATCCAGACACTGATCTACAGTAAGATCAGAAATGCATGTTTCACCTTCATGCTCAAGGTTTTGCTTTGGGGAGAGTGAGCTGATCCTAAATCTGTATCTAAAGCCAACTTCCACCGAGACCAATGCTTAAGGTGAAGTATTTTGTAAGGGTAAGCTGATCCTAGATCTGTGCAAAAAGTCAATTTGTACCAATACCAATAGGCTTTGGGAAGGGTGATTTGATCCTAGATACTTACTGTTTTCCTCCAGAGGATGGCTCTGTACTGAGGGACCCGCTGGTTGTTCTGGTCGGACAGAACCACAGACAGGTAGAAGGGGTTCTTCTCTGCATCCGTACCAATGTAGTTCTGGTGGACTGGGGGGTAAAAACACATTCATTGATTTATAATTGTTGACTGTTCTGTCGTTTGTTTGTTGTATGGTCATAAGTGTGCGTTACAGTTTCTGTTAATTTCTGTCAGGAAGCCACGGTGAGGCCTAGTTTTTCCTGTATGGTATGTTGAGTAGTGTGTGCATGCATGCATATGTATCTGCTTGAATATGTGTGTGTGTGTGTGTGTGTGTGTGTGTGTGTGTGTGTGTGTGTGTGTGTGTGTGTGTGTGTGTGTGTGTGCGGGCGTGTGTGTGGGTCATACACAACAGAACCATAGACAACACCGCTTCACATTCAGCTCCCTCTCTACCTGGTTGACACAGCAACGTATTCAGACATAACACTGACCAGACCCCCCAAACCAAATAAAAAACAGGAACTCTGCCCTCTCTCGCTCCCCCCTCTCTCTTCATCCCTTTCTTTCTCTCTCTCTCTCTCTCTCTCTCTCTCTCTCTCCTCTCTCTCTCCTCTCTCTCTCTCTCTCTCTCTCTCTCTCTCTCTCTCTCTCCCCATCTCTCTCACCATCTCTCTCACCATCTCTCTCTCCATCTCTCTCACCATCTCACTCTCCATCTCTCTCTCTATCCCCTTCTCTCTCTCGATCCCTTTCTTCCTCTCTCTCTCCATCTCTTTCTCTCCATTTCTTTCTTTGAATCAGTTCACTTGGACGTTTTTTTTCTGTGCTTGGAAAGCATAACACACACACACATACACAAACACACACACACCTTGCTGAAGGATAAAAGGAAGAACAAGGGAAGGAAGGAGGGGGGTAATGCATTTTTAATGATCACCATGACTCTCAGGAGGCTGTTGGCTGCTCGTGTTGACTAGGGAGCCAGTCAGATGTTAATGTTGTTATCTCCCAGCGTGTGTATGTGTGTGTGTGTGTGTGTGTGTGTGTGTGTGTGTGTGTGTGTGTGAAGTGAGCCTCTGCTCACCATCTTCCTCTGACTGCCGGGCCCAGTCTGCAGGTCCACTGTAGCTATGGAAGTATCTTTGGGAGCTGATAGACTACCATTAAACTAGGAGAGCTAGGGACAGGAGTTTTACCTGATCATGTGATTGGACCAGGAAAAAGTCCTGGCCCTACAGTCAGTATACTGGTCAGGTCACATGGTCTGGAAAAGTCCTGACCCCGTGTAAAGCATATGGTCTTGCCTACGCTCTTAGAGAAAAGGGTTCCAAAATAGTTATTTGGCTGTCCCCATACATGTAGGAGAACCCTTTTTGGTTCCAGGTAGAATACTTTTGGATTCCAAAAGCCAAAAGGGTTCTACCTGGAACCAAAAGGGTTCTACCTGGAACCATAAAGGGTTCTTCAAATGGTTCTCCTATGGGGAAAGCTGAAGAACCCTTTTAGGTTCTAAATAGTACCTTTTATTGCACACGTGTCAGACCTGATTTTGTATTAATATTTAGGGTATTTCAATGACTTTCACACACATTTGGAGGTAAGTATTTACATATTTTTATTTGAAAGACAAGTAGTTGAATATTGCAATGTACAGTATTTGGAAATACACTTGTTAAGTATTTGAAAATACTCAAATACTGTCACGGATCCCCCCGGTACTGCTGCTCATTCCGTTCACCAGCTCCGGAGGTCTACGTTACCGGCCTTCTAGGCGTCACTGATCTGGTTCATTACCACCAACCTCGGATTGTCTTGTCTCATTGTCTCATTACACCTGGTTCCCATTCCCCCTGATTAGTATATATATGTGCCCTCTGTTCCCCATTGTCCTTGTCGATTATTGTCCCATGTCTGTTGGTCTCGTGAATACATTGTATTACAGTTTACATGCCGAGTAATTGTGCACTTGGGTCTTGTTTACACCTCACCCTATTGTTTGGGTTACATCTCTGTTGTTATACATATATACGTGTTTGTTTTGGTCTTCGTCCACATTGTTTTCCATGACGTACCTTATGTTGGGTTGAGAAAAAAAAAAAAAGATTACGTATTCCTGCGCCTGTCTTCTATCAGTATACAACGTGACAGAATAATCTACCCATAAAAATGGAGACAGTGGGAAAGGCCGAGCTGACGACCATCATAGAGGCAGTCCAGCATCACGGGGACTGTCTCTCCAGACTCAGCAGAGCCATGGACAGCGTTCTGGCAACCATCCTGCGGTTGGAGGGGAAAGTACTGGTTCCGGCACCAGCCCCAACACAACCACTACCTGCTTCCGTCCCATCTGAGCCGGTCCGCGGAATACCCGTCCCTCCTGGAGCGCTTTGACGGCGCGCCAGCAAGATGTACCTCGCTCGCTACGCCGATGCTGTCTCCGGGAGATACAGAGTTGCCACAGTCATCTCGGCACTGACCGGAAGGGCCCTGGACTGGGGTGCTGCAGTCTGGGAAACGGGCGGACCCGAGGTCGAGTCCTACGAACGCTTCACCCTCCTCTTCCGCTCGGTGTTTGATCATCCCTTGGAGGGCCAAGAGGGGGGTGAGAGTCTACTCTGACTACGCCAAGGATCTAGAACCGCCTTGGAGGTCGCCCTGGAGTCCCGGACTATCGCGGCCTCCACCCGATGGAACGAGTCGGCTCTGGTCACCGTTTTCCACAGCGGACTGCAGGAGGAGGTACAGATGGAGTTAGCCTGCCATGATGACAACCTGTCACTCGACCAGCTCATCAGCATGGCGATCCGGTTGGACAACCTCCTGCGGTCCCTACAAAGACCTGCTCGGAATCCGGAGCCCATGGCTACACCTGCTCTGTGGCCAAAGCTGATGGAGGTGGGCTCTGCACGTTTGCCCGAGGAGGCAGGGAGAGGAGACCCCCATCATCCCTCCATTCCGTATATTCGCGCCAGTGGTGTGGGACGTGGACGCCGACATACAGCAGGCCCAAAGTACGGAACCCACACCTACACAGTGTTCAGAGAACCGCGCCTACGTGCCCACGGGAGTGCGGGACCGCCTCCTTTCCTGGGCGCACACGGCGCCTGTTTCGGGTCATCCTGGTATAGGCCGTACCATCGCCTGCCTGACTGAGAAGTACTGGTGGCCCACCTTGGCTAGGGATGTCCGGGTTTACGTCTCTTCCTGCTCCATCTGTGCTCAGTCTAAGACACCCAGACACCTCCCTTATGGCAAGCTCCTTCCCCTGCCGGTTCCACAATGACCATGGTCTCACCTCTCGGTGGACTTTGTCACTGACCTTCCCCCCTCCCAGGGGAACACCACCGTTCTCGTCGTTGTGGATCGGTTTTTCAAAGCTTGTCGCCTCCTTCCTCTACCTGGGCTCCCGTCAGCCATGCAAACCACGGAGGCTCTTTTTACGGGAGTGGGCGGATTTCTACCTTGGGCTGAGTTCGCGCAAAATTCCCTCCACCACTCCTCCACTAACCTCAGTCCTTTCCAGTGCATGTTGGGGTATCAGCCGGCCCTGGCACCTTGGCATCCTGTTTTCTCTCCAGGCGACCGGGTTTGGCTCTCCACCCAGAACCTGCCCCTCCGCTTGCCCTGCCGGAAGCTGAGCCTGCGGTTTGTGGGGCCGTTTAAAGTCCTGAGAAGGGTTTATGAGGTAACGTACCATTTGCAACTCCCTGCTGATTACCGCATTAACCCGACTTTTCATGTGTACCTCCTCAGGCCAGTGGTTCCTTGGTCCCCTCGCTGAGGCTTGACCCAGTGACACCCCACCTCCTCCTCTGGACATCGAGGGAGGTCCGGCGTACTCGGTCCGTGAAGTCCTGGATTTGAGGTGTCGGGCAGGCCGTCTCCAGTACCTCATCGACTGGGAGGGGTACGGCCCAGAGGAGCGGTCCTCGGTTCCTACGGTGGACATCCTGGACGCTTCGCTGACCAGGGATCTTCGGCGCCCTGACCGACCCACACCGCGTTCCTGTGGTCGTCCCCGAGGCCGGTGTCATCCTGCTGCTTGTGCAGCGCGTCGGGGGGAGGGGGCTCGTCCCGTGTATTATTTAGAGGTTTACACCTCACCCTATTGTTTGGGTTACATCCCTGTTGTTATACATATATACGTGTTTGTTTTGGGCTTCGTCCACGTCGTTTTCCATGACGTACCTTATGTTGGGTTGAGTAATAACAAAAACGATTATGTATTCCTGCACCTGTCTTCTATCAGTATACAACGTGACAAATACCCTGATTCAAACAATCTGATCTCAGAGTTTCTCATAGTTTCACTTCGAAATTAGATGTAATATGAATGACTCATTAATTCCACATGGTTACAGGGTTAAAACAGAAACAACTCAAAGGGATAATTGTAGGTATGAATTCAGAGTGGTTAAGGTCAGGGCTAAAACAAAAGTAAAAATAACACCCTGTGTACATCAAGTATCATTGTGTACTCTCCCGGCTTGCTAGAGCATTGTGAATTGCCGTGGAGCAGTTGTCTGAGCAGTGTGCTCTGACTCCGAGCCTTTACGAGTTTATTCCCACTGCTGTGCCATTTATTAATTTTTTGTGAGCGCCAAGGAAGGCAGGACCTTTTTATAAGTCGGAAATCTACTGGTATTTCTAGTGACCAGGATGGATTCAAATACACTCCCATACATTTAGCCCAGGCATTTGAAAGTAGTATTTGAAAATAATTTCAAATAGTTCCAATAGAAGTAGTTGATTCAGGCCCTTTTATTAGAAAATACTCAAATACACAGAATTAAGTATTTAAATAACACATGTATTTGAACCCAGGTCTGGTGTGTGTGTGTGCGTGTGTGTGTGTGTGTGTGCGCGCGTGTGTGTGTGTGTGTGTGTGTGTGTGAGTGTGTGTGTGTGTGTGTGTGTGCGTGTGTGTCTGTGTGTGTGACAGAGAGGAGAGGAGTAGAACGGACCTTTGCCCAGGAAGTATTTGAAGAACCATCTGGTGTGGTACTCCGGGTTCTCCAGATGGACATCGGTTCTTCTCCAGGTTCCAGGGGTGTAGTCCGTCATCTACACACACACACACACACACACACACACACACACACACACACACACACACACACACACACACACACACACACACACACACGGGTTAGTGACACACACACACACACACACACAAATGCTTCCACACACACAATAAATACTTCACATCATAACACTCACAACAACACTGATAATGGGCGATTCATAACACACCCACACACACTCCCCCCTCCACTCCACCCACCCACACATACTCCCCACTCCACCCACTCACACATACTCCCCACTCCACCCACCAACACATACTCCCCCCTCCACTCCACCCACCCACCCACCCACCCACCCACCCACACACACGCCCCACTCCACCCACCCACACATACCCCCCCTCCACGCCACCCACCTACCCACACACACTCCCCCCCCACACACACTCCACCCCCCCCACGCCACCCACCCACACACAACACCCGCCACTCCACTCCACCCACACACGCCCCCCTCCACTCCACCCACACCCCCCCGCCACGCCACCCACCACACACACTCCCCCTCCACTCCACCCACACACACCACACTCCCCCCACAGCACGCCACCCACCCACACACACCCCCCTCCACTCCACCCACACCCCCCTCCATGCCACCCACCCAGACACCCACACACACTGCCCCCCCACTGCCACCCACCCAACAGACGCCCCACGCCACCCACGCACACAGACGCCCCACCCACCCAACAACAGCGCCCCCCACACCCACCACCCACCCACCCACCCACACACACGCCCCACGCCACCCACCCACACAGACGCCCCCCGCCACCCACCCACCGACCCACACACACGCCCCCGCCCACACACACGCCACCCCCCCCACCCACACCCCCACACACAACACCCGCCCACCCACGCCACCCCACACACACCCCCCCTGCCACCCACCCACACTCCCCCCTCCACTCCACCCACCCACACACAGCCCCCCTCCACGCCACCCACCCACACACACTCCCCCTCCACTCCACCCACACACACACACCCCCCCACACACTCCACCCCCCACACACATCCCCCCCACTCCACCCACACTCCCCCTCCAGTGCCACCCACCCAGACACCCACACCACTCCCCCCCACTCCACCCACCCACCACACACACCCCCCCCACTCCACCCACCCACACACCCACACTCCCCCTCCATTCCACTCACCACCACCCACACACACCACCCCTCCACTCCACCCACCCACCACACCCCCCACCCCCACCACCCACCCACCCAACACACCCCCCCTCGCACCACCACACCCACACCCCATCACACACTCCCCTCCACTCCACCCACCCACACACCCCCCCTCCACTCCACCCACCCCCCAACCACACACCCCCACACACACCACTCCCCCTCCACTCCACGCACCCAACCCACCCACCACACACACTCCCCACTCCACTCCACCCAACCCACACACACTCACCCTCCACTCCACCCACCCACACACACACTCCCCCTCCACTCCACCCACCCACACACATTCCCCCCTCCACTCTACCCACCCACACACACTCCCCGCTCCACTCCACCCACCCACACACACTCCCCCGACCACTCCACCCACCCACACTCCCCCCCTCCACTGCACCCACCCACACACACTGTTTTACCCCAATAAATACATATATTGATCTACAGACTGACCTTCAAAACACAAACACACACACACACATCGTTGTTCAGTCGGGCATAGAGTAGGGTTCCCCAGACAGTGATGTTGTGGTGTGCTGACAGGAGAAAAGCTCCTTTGTAAGCAGTAGATCTCCCCGTCATCAATATTAATGTTAAGCCCTCTATAAGTCCCTCTGATCAATGCACCTCCTCCTCCTCATTAACAGGACGTCCCATTTTGGATTCATCCTATTGAGGGCAAGCCTCACACTTACCCACAGGCCACACACACACACACACACACACACAGACACACGCACACACTCTGACAGTTGGGATGGGTTCTTAAACAGAGGGGAGAGGAGATAGGAGACACTTTAGTTTGTTTGTTTGTTTATTTGCAAGGAAAACATCCCAGGTTGTCATGGTTACTGTCTGGTGGTGCTTCAGCTGGGAAAGGGGTAGGTGGTGTGTGTGAGTGTGTGTGCATATGTGTGTGTGTGTGTTCGTGTGTGTGTGTGTGAGTGCGTAATGTGTGTGTGTGTGCATGCGTGCGTGCGTGTGTGTGAGAGTGTACGAAAAAAGTATTCAAATGTATGCACTCACTCCTGTAAGTCGCTCTGGATAAGACCATCTGCTAAATTACCAAAATGTGTTTGTGAATAAAATAGAATAGTACAATTGACAGTGATGCACACACACAGTCATGTCTGGTACATGTTAGGGTGATGGAGGGGATAAGGGATAGAACATAGATGAAGACAAAAGTGTTGCTGTTTTGTTGTTCTCTTTTCATTCTCCCTGTGGAGGGGAACGACAGAAAGACAGAGAACTAAAATATAAACGCAACATGTAAAGTGTTGGTCCCATGTTTCATGAGCTGAAATAAAAGATCCCAGAAATGTGTTTACATCCCTGTTAGTGAGCATTTATCCTTTGCCAAGATAATCCATTCACCTGACAGATATGGCATATCAAGAAGCTTAATAAACAGCATGATCAATACGCAGGTGCACCTTATGCTTGGGGACAATAAAAGGCCACTCGAAAAATAGTCTGACACAAGCCACTTGGATAGCTGATGAAACTGTGGGTTTGCACAACCAAAGAATTTCTGCACAAACTGTCAGAAACCGTCTCAGGGAAGCTCATCTGCGTGTTCGTCGTCCTCACCAGGGTCTTAACCTGACTTGTAGTTCGGCGTCATAACTGACTTCAGTGGGCAAATGCTCACCTTCAATGGCCACTGGCATGCTGGAGAAGTGTGCTCTTCACGGATGAATCCCGGTTTCAACTGTACCGGGCAGATGGCAGACAGCGTGTATGGTGTTGTGTGGGCGAGCGGTTTGCTGATGTCAATGTTGTGAACAGAGTGCCCAATGCAGGCTTAAGCTACGGACAATGAACACAATTGCATTTTATCAATGACAATTTGAATGCACAGCGATATCGTGACGAGATCCATTGTCATGCCATTCATTCGCCGCCATCACCTCATGTTTCAGCATGATAATGCACAGCCCCATGTCACAATGATCTGTACACAATTCCTGGAAGCTGAAAATGTCCCAGTTCTTCCATGGCCTGCATACTCACCAGACATGTCACCCATTGAGCATGTTTTGGATGCTCTGGATCGACGTGTACGACAGCGTCACAGATAGAACAATGAGACAGATATTTCACCAGATGTACAGTACCAGTCAAAAGTTTGGACACACCTACTCATTCCAGTGTTTTTCTTTATTTTTACTATTTCCTACATTGTAGAGTAATAGTAAAGACATCAACACTATTAAATAACACACATGGAATCATGTAGTAACCAAAAAGTGTTAAACAAATCAAAATATATTTTATATTTGAGAGATTCTTCAAAGTAGCCACCCTTTCCTTGATGACAGATTTGCACTCTTGGCATTCTCTCAACCAGCTTCATGAGGTAGTCACCTGGAATGCATTTCAATTAACAGGTGTGCCTTCTTAAAAGTTAATTTGTGGAATTTATTTCCTTAATGCGTTTGAGCCAATCAGTTGTTGTGACAAGGTAGGGGTGGTATACAGAAGATAGCCCTATTTGGTAAAAGACCAAGTCTGTATTATGGCAAGAACAGCTCAAATAAGCAAAGAGAAATGACAGTCCATCATTCCTTGAAGACATGAAGGTCAGTCAATCCGGAAAATGTCAAGAACTTTGAAAGTTTCTTCAAGTGCAGTCGCAAAAACCGCTATGAGGAAACTGAGTCTCATGAGGACCGCCACAGGAAATGAAGACCCAGAGTTACCTCTGCTGCAGAGGATAAGTTCATTAGAGTTACCAGCCTCAGACTGCAGCCCAATAAATGCTTCACAGAGTTCAAGTAACAGACACATCTCAACATCAACTGTTCAGAGGAGACTGCATGAATCAGGCCTTCATGGTCGAATTGCTGCAAAGAAACCACTACTAAGGACACCAATAATAATAATGCTGCATCAGATGACCTGGCCTCTACAATCACCTGACCTCAACCCAAATGAGATGGTTTGGGATGAGTTGGACGGCAAGAGTGAAGGAAAAGCAGCCAACAAGTGCTCAGCATATGTGGGAACTCCTTCAAGACTGTTGGAAAAGCATTCCAGGTGAAGCTGGTTGAGAGAATGCCAAGAGTGTGCAAAGCTGTCATCAAGGCAAAGGGTGGCTACTTTGAAGAATCTCAAATATAAAATATATTTTGATTTGTTTAACACTTTTTTGGTTTCTACATGATTCCATATGTGTTATTTCATAGTTTTGATGTTTTCACTAATATTCTACAATGTAGAAAATAGTAAAAATAAAGAAAAACCCTTGAATGAGTAGGTGTATCCAAACTTTTGACTGTTACTGTATAATTGTGAAGCATCCGCTTGACGTTTCCACTCACTACCAAATATGGTAGTGAGAGGAAGCCCAGTGGCCGGCAGTGGGAGAAGATGGAAGGAGATGGATGTTGGCCGACATTCTGCACATTTTCTTATCGATGAAACATTTGATCTTAATACAGTTTTCTGTTCGAAAAACAACAATCTGTTATGAACAGAGTGGACTACATTTTGTAGACTTTACCCTTTGCCAAAGTTGTAAAGAATTGCGTTGTTTTGAGTGCAAAGGCGTATTGAGTTATTGCACACGCGCACTTCACAGAGTAGGCGTTCCCTAACGGAAATATGCAGACGTATGATAGAACGGGCCAATAGGATCTCGTTAGCTCGTGCTTGGCTCTGCCCACCTCCTTGCTTGTTCTGCCCACTATGACTCATTTGTTCACGTTGGAAACGACAGGCTGTGGTCTTTCTTGGTTTAGCTATAAAAAAATCTTTGACAGCGTGGTCCAGTTCCCACCCATATCCAGCAACTTTGCACAGCCATTGAAGAGTAGTAGGAGAACATCTGTCCCTGTCTCTCACTCTGTCCCTGTCTCTCACTCTGTCCCTGTCTCTCACTCTGTCCCTGTGCCACTGCAGCCAGTCTCCTGTGTGGATGTAATGTCATAATGTCATAGGCGTGTTGTACTATACGTATGACACCTAGGGGTCTTTCGGTTATTGATCTCAGTGTGTATGTGTGTGTGTTTGTTTGTGTGTGTTTGTGAGAGCATGTGTGTGATGATTGCATGTATAATGCACACTATTGGTGACATTTTACATCTGCAACTGCATGTGACACATTGTACGGCGTTCCCTCACTGCTCTAGCATGTAGTGAAATACGGGTCAATTCAAGAGGGTGCAACTAAATGAATTCTTTGCCCTATGTCATTATGAATCACATAAAATGCATAATTAGATTGTGCTCTACAATATTATAACCTTAATATGCTTGTACTTAACAGTGTTGATGAAATAAGAACGTTAGTTTGTTGTGACCGTTGCTAGTTTAAACCGTCCCAGCTCTTGGTTGTATCTCTTCCATTTTTCAGCATTGGGAGTTGGTAACATTTGGAGGTGTTTCCGCAGTTTGGACCAATCAAAATCCACTTGATACCCTCGTCATTTTCATAATAAAATCTGTGGCTTTCTATTCCTCTAACCCCGGTCAATCAATGTTGAGAGGGGCTGTTTCTATGGCAATTTAAAGGGAGAGACTCAGAAATATACCATGAAAACTGGAACAGATTGTCTTCAGGGAGGGTAGATATTGAAATTCAATCTGTTAGCTTTGTAAATTAATAAATATATAGACCCAATTTAGTTTTGTATTCTGCGGATTTCATTTAGAAAAAATCCATGTTATCACACAGGAACTTGCAGCCACTAGCTAGCTTGTCAGTTGATGTTCGAAGTTAGCGCCGTTCTGCCCGCGGAGCAGTGACAGAGTTCTATTGAATAGCGACCACTTATTGACCATGGCCATAATTATATTCTATTCACTCTAATCATGCTAAAACCTCTGAGTAAATAGTCTGTGACTTTTAAACTATATATGGTAGAGACATAGCGTTTGGACAATTTCTGGGGGGATGGAATTCTCTATTCAATGAAACACATTTTTTATGGTTTATCACCCTACACATTGACAGACAGGAGGAGAGCCATTTGTTCATGTACATTTTGTTAATGTACAGTTACTCAGAAAGACACAGGGGTAGCCAACCCCGGTCCTGGCGAAGTGTGGGTAGGCTTTTGTTCCAGCCCAGCACTAACCCCCCTGATTTACAGCATAATCTCATCTTAAATCAGATTTGTAAGTGTTGGGCTGGAACAAAAGCCTGCATGGTCTGTGGGTGGGTCCCCAGGCCCAGGTTTGAAGAAAACTCCCATGTGACTCAGGTTTCTGAACTTGACAGTAAAGTAGCATAGTTCTAGACCTGGATGGTTCATGTAATGTATATCCCTGGGCTGACCTGTCTGTGTCTGACTGTGTCTTCAGAGACATACTGTCTTCTTACTGGATATAGAAATGACAATATAGAAGTTTAGTTTTTTCACTGTGGTTGAACTCTCCTTCTGGTGCTTCCTCAGAGCACTGAGTAACAGACGTACAGTGAGGGAAAAAAGTATTTGATCCCCTGCTGATTTTGTACGTTTGCCCACTGACAAAGACATGATCAGTCTATAATTTTAATGGTAGGTTTATTTGAACAGTGAGAGACAGAATAACAACAACAAAATCCAGAAAAACGCATGTCAAAAATGTTATACATTGATTTGCATTTTAATGAGGGAAATAAGTATTTGACCTCTCTGCAAAACATGACTCAGTACTTGGTGGCAAAACCCTTGTTGGCAACCACAGAGGTCAGACGTTTCTTGTAGTTGGCCACCAAGTTTGCACAAATCTCAGGAGGGATTTTGTCCCACTCCTCTTTGCAGATCTTCTCCAAGTCATTAAGGTTGCGAGCCTGACGTTTGGCAACTCGAACCTTCAGCTCCCTCCACAGATTTTCTATGGGATTAAGGTCTGGAGACTGGCTAGGCCACTGGCCACTCCTTTGTTGCCTTGGCCGTGTGTTTTGGGTCATTGTCATGATGGAATACCCATCCACAACCCATTTTCAATGCCCTGGCTGAGGGAAGGAGGTTCTCACCCAAGATTTGACGGTTCATGGCCCTGTCCATCGTCCCTTTGATGCGGTGAAGTTGTCCTGTCCCCTTAGCAGAAAAACACCCCCAAAGCATAATGTTTCCACCTCCATGTTTGACGGTGGGGATGGTGTTCTTGGGGTCATAGGCCACAACACTTTCACCCAGTTCTCCTCTGAATCATTCAGATGTTCATTGGCAAACTTCAGACGGCCCTGTATATGTGCTTTTTGAGCAGGGGGATCTTGCGGGCGCTGCAGGATTTCAGTCCTTCTCGGCGTAGTGTGTTACCAATTGTTTTCTTGGTGACTATGGATGTTGTTGTGGGGTCTTTTGTGACCTCTTGGATGGGTCGTCGCTGCGCTCTTGGGGTAATTTTGGTCTGCCGGCCACTCCTGGGAAGGTTCACCACTGTTCCATGTTTTCGCCATTTGTGGATAATGGCTCTCACTGAGGTTCGCTGGAGTCCCAAAGCTTTAGAAATGGCTTTACAGCCTTTTCCAGACTGATGTCTAGCTTTTGAGGATCTTTTGGTCTACTTCACTTTGTCAGGCAGGTCCTATTTAAGTGATTCCTTGATTGAGAACAGGTGTGGCAGTAATCAGGCCTGGGTGTGGCTAGAGGAATTGAACTCAGGTGTGATAAACCACAGTTGAGTTGTGTTATAACAGGGGGGGCAAACACTTTTTCACACAGGCCAGGATTTTGTTTTCCCTTAATAATAACAACCTTCATTTCAAAACTGCATTTTGTGTTTACTTGTGTTATCTTTGACTAATATTTAAATGTGTTTGATGACCTGAAACATTTAAGTGTGACAAACATGCAAACAAATTAAAAATCAGGAAGGGGGCAAACACTTTTTCACACCACTGTATGTCCATAGATTTCTCACACTCTACAGTGAGTGTGTGTATGTGTGTGTGTGTGTGTGTGTGTGTGTGTGTAGGGGTCCTCACCTCATCTGATGAGCCATTCTCCACTCGGAAGCGGCCCGCTCTCTGTATGGCTCCATCTGCATCACTAGAGATCAGCTAGAGGGAGGAGAGGGAGAGAGAGAGGGAGAGGGAGAGGGAGAGGGAGAGGGAGAGGGAGAGGGAGAGGGAGAGAGAACTTTAAAGGCACAATTCATCTCATGTATAGCGAATTCAAACGCAAATTAAAAGATAAAACACTGCTAGCAACGCTTAAAGCAAAACGTCCCATTCCATTTACAGCAGAGAGAGAGAGACAGAAACAGAGAGAGGAATAGAGGAATAGGTCAGAGTCATTAACATGAGACAATGGAACTAAGTGAAACAACTGACATCAACAGTCTAGATGACAGTAAAGAGGTACACATGACAGACATTAATATCATGTGACAACAATAGTCTCTAGTGGCTGGTTAGATACCTACTAACAATTAATCTGAACACACCATTTCTGCATCCCAACTGGCACACTATTCCCAATATAGAGTCCCATAGGGTCCTGGTTAAAAGCGGTGCACTATGTAGGTAAAATGATGCCATTTGGGACGCAACAAATGTTATAGGACAATATTCTTCCCTTTTAAACCCATCAAAATGTTCCCTTTTTTAAAGCAATAATCTTCTTCCCACCTTCCTACATATCCATTCTATTCTTCTCTGGTTCCCCATTTTCTCTACATCTCTCCTCCACCCCCTCTTCCACCGAAATCTCTCTCTTTTGTTGCTTTATCTAATTTTTTTCCCTCTCTCTCTCTCTCTCTCTCTCTCTCTCTCTCTCTCTCTCTCTCTCTCTCTCTCTCTCTCTCATTCCCTATAAGCAGAGTGCACTGTACGACATGATTCCTAAATGTAGGAAAACGTTTTTTTTAGTTACAAAGTCAATATGTGAAGTGTAGATTCACCAGTGTGAAGGGAGACAGGGGTGTAGCTTATTGTTGGTGTTAGACTAAAATGGGAAGTCTCTGCTCAGTCTCCTGTCTGTCAATAGCATCTGTTGTCTTACTGCTGCTGATAACCTCTCTCTCTCTCTCTCGCTCTCTCTCTCTCTCTCTCTCTCTATCTATCTCTCTCTCTCTCTCTCTCTCTCTCTCTCTCTCTCTCTCTCTCTCAGTCTCTCTGTCTCTCTGTCTCTGTGTGTTCTGCTCATCCTATGCTTGCTGACTGACCTTTTTCTACTCAGGACAAGATAGACAGAAAACCAGAAAAGGAGAGAGAGAAACTGCAAAGCATAGGAGTCTAACAGTCCTTTTGAGATTACTTCAAGTGATCTGATAAATTCCCTTTCTGAAAGGGGAGAGTGGTTACATTTCTCCAGCCCCATCCCTCAGCTCTTTACCAAAACAAGTGGTGGGGTGAACGCTTGTTGTTTTTCGATCCCGGATTGCCTCTTTAAGACATTCATAAACACTATCAAACACAACTACTAATCATGAGTTGAAATGATGTTTTTTTTTTTTTTTCAGTACCTGTTTCCAGGACACAGATTAAGCCTAGTTCTGGACTAAGAAGCATGTTCAATGGATGGTCTCTATTGAAATAGATTTTTAGTCCCAGATTAGGCTTAATCTGTCTGGGAAACTGACCTATAGGCCGGATTCAATCTGATTGCGCTTTGTTTTTATAGAGCTGACATATGCAGCTTTTACTGTGAATGCGGTCTCTGCTCTGCGAACACATCGGATTGAATCCCGGCCAGTGAGTCATCCTCTGTGTTGTCCTCAGTCCTAATAATGATGCTGGCTTTTGTTTACAATGGCCCTCCAGTGACAATACAGGACCTGCTGGGGCCAGCTTCATCCACTGTGTTGTGTGACTGTGACTACTCTCCATCGCAAAAGAGGAGGAAGTAGTCAGTATCACCTGTCTCTCCATCAACCTGACATTTCTTCTCACCGTAGAGACATGACATCCCTCTGTCCTTTCCTTCCCCTCCTCCTCTCCTCTCACCCCCCTTGCCCCTAATACCGCACAAAGCATGGTTGCCTGGCAACCCAATACAGAACCTCTCCTCTCTGCTCTCTCTCCCTCTTCCCTCTCTCCTCTGTCTTCTGTCATTCTCTGAATGATATAGGGTTGTGCTCTGCCAAAGTGTTCACCAAAACACAGCACAGTGCTGGCACACACCGGACTCTCCCTGGTGGCATGTGTGTGTGTGTTCTGCCGCAGATGGTCTATAATGGTCAGAAGAAGCCAAGAGGAAGAACAGGAAGTCCAGGAAGGTGTGTGTGTGTGTGTGTGTGTGTGTGTGTGTGTGTGTGTGTGTGTGTGTGTGTGTGTGTGTGTGTGTGTGTGTGTGTGTGTGTGTGTGTATGCTGACGTGTGTGTGCATGGGGGGTTGGGGGTTATGCAATGTAGGCAGCTATCGATGTCTATAATTCTACGCTGCACTGCAGCTCTAAGAGACCAGGACATTCTATCCACTCTTACATACCATAGTAATGGAATAAGCACAACACTGTGTACTAGGCCATGTCCATTCCATTCCATAGCCCAGCGACTGCAGGTTTAAACACCAGTGTGTGAGATTCATGTGAATGAGACTGGGCCTATAGGGATGAGCTGGAGAAATCATAGCTTCTCTACTCCAATATGCATATTCAATGTGGCTGTAAACAAATATAATCTCTCGTGTAATGGTGTGTGTGTGTATGTTCGCTTGTGTGCATTCATGTGCCTTTATATGTGTGTGTGTGTTTGTTTGTGTGTGTGTGGGCGTGTATTTCTGTGTTTCTGTGTGCGGTTGAATGTGTTCACAGGAATGTGTATGTGTATGTGTGTGTGTTCCTCTCAGGAGAGTGATGTCCCAGGTATAAGGCCTTATGAGAAACAGGCAGCAAGGCCTTATGAGAAACAAGCAGCAAGGCCTTATGAGAAACAGGCAGCAAGGCCTTATGAGAAACAAGCAGCAAGGCCTTATGAGAAACAGGCAGCAGGCCTTATGAGAAACAAGCAGCAAGGCCTTATGAGAAACAAGCAGCAAGGCCTTATGAGAAACAGGCAGCAGGCCTTATGAGAAACAGGCAGCAAGGCCTTATGAGAAACAAGCAGCAAGGCTTTATGAGAAACAGGCAGCAAGGCCTTATGAGAAACAAGCAGCAAGGCCTTATGAGAAACAAGCAGCAAGGCCTTATGAGAAACAGGCAGCAAGGCCTTATGAGAAACAAGCAGCAAGGCATGAGAAACACGCAGCAAGGCCTTATGAGAAACAAGCAACAAGGCCTGATGAGAAACAGGCAGCAAGGCCTTATGAGAAACAGGCAGCAGGCCTTATGAGAAACAGGCAGCAAGGCCTTATGAGAAACAAGCAGGCCACCACTAGTAGACTGCAGACCATTACTATTCCTCTCACACACACATACTGTAGACACACACACACACACACACACACACACAAAGACACTGTATATTTAGACGCACACTCTCTCTATGGAAATATTTTCCTCCCCTGTCCACAACTTGTGTGTATGTGCGTGTGTGTCAGTAGAGCAGTGTTGAGTCCTGTCTGGTTGTGAGTGTGTCAGTAGAGCAGTGTTGAGTCCTGTCTGGTAGTGAGTGTGTCAGTAGAGCAGTGTTGAGTTCTGTCTGGTTGTGAGTGTGTCAGTAGAGCACTGTTGAGTCCTGTCTGGTTGTGTGTGTCAGTAGAGCAGTGTTGAGTCCTGTCTGGTTGTGAGTGTGTCAGTAGGGCAGTGTTGAGTCCTGTCTGGTTGTGTGTGTCAATAGAGCAGTGTTGAGTCCTGTCTGGTTGTGAGTGTGTCAGTAGAGCACTGTTGAGTCCTGTCTGGTTGTGTGTGTCAGTAGAGCAGTGTTGAGTCCTGTCTGGTTGTGAGTGTGTCAGTAGAGCACTGTTGAGTCCTGTCTGGTTGTGTGTGTCAGTAGAGCAGTGTTGAGTCCTGTCTGGTTGTGAGTGTGTCAGTAGAGCAGTGTTGAGTCCTGTCTGGTTGTGAGTGTGTCAGTAGAGCAGTGTTGAGTCCTGTCTGGTTGTGAGTGTGTCAGTAGAGCACTGTTGAGTCCTGTCTGGTTGTGAGTGTGAGTGATGAACGTGGAGTGAAGGTCTGAGTGGTGCTCTCTCGTCTCTTCTCTCCTCCTGCAACATTAACCGTCCAATCACAGGATAATGGAGGGAAAACCAATGCAGCGTGCAAGGAGAGCACCACATCATCTCCTCTGAGTGTGTGTGTGTGTGTGTGTGTGTGTGTGTGTGTGTGTGTGTGTGTGTGTGTGTGTGTGTGTGTGGACGTGTTTAACTATACTTGTGGGGGCCAGAAGTCCCTACAAGAATAGTTAACCAAGATACATTTGACCAACTGGGGACATTTTGTTGGTCCCCACAAGGTCAAATGCTATTTCTAGGGGGTTTAGGGTTAAGGTTAGAATGAGTGTTAGGGTTAGAATTAGGTTTAGGGTTAGGAGATAGGGTTAGTTTTAGGGTTAGGGTTAGGAGCTAGGGTTAGGTTTAGGGTTAGGGTTAAGGCTAGGTTTTTGGGTTAAGGTTAGGGTTAGGGTTAAGGTTAGGGTTAGGGTTACAGTAAGGGTATGGGTTAGGGAAAATTAGATTTTGAATGGGACTTTACTGTATTTCCCCACAAGGTTAGCTGCGCAAGACTGTGTGTGTGTGTGTATGTGTGTGTGTGCGTGAGTGTGTGTGTGTGTGTGAGTGTGTGTGTGTGCGTGAGTGTGTGTGTGTGTGTGTCATGCATGTGTGCATACGCCCATGCTTCTAAATCATGCAACAGCAGCATGGTAGAGGAGGAAAAGCCTTCACTCTCATGATTCCCTGTGGACCTGCTGTGTTTTCCACTCAGAGCCAGAGAGAGGGAGGAGAAGAAAGGGAGGGGAGGAGGAGAGGAGGGAGGATAGAAAGATGGGGAGCCCGCCCTGCTACGCAAGAGAGAGAGAGAGAGACAGAGAGACAGAGAGAGAGAGAGAGAGAGAGAGAGAGAGAGAGAGAGAGAGAGAGAGAGAGAGAGAGAGAGAGAGAGAGAGAAGGGCAACCAGTGAAGCACTGTCACGCCCTGATCTAGAGAACTCTTGTTGGTTGGGTCAGGGTGTGAGTTCAGTTGAGATCTATGTCATTGTATATATATGTTTAGATCTAGTTTTATATTTCTATGTTTGGCCGGGTGTGGTTCCCAATCAGAGGCAGCTGTCGCTCGTTGTCTCTGATTGGGGATCATACTTAGGTAGCCTGGTTGCCTACCTTAGTTGTGGGATCTTGTTTGTGTTCCTGTTAGGCTTGTTGTGTGTATAGCCCATAGGACTTCACGTTTTCGTTGTTTTGTTATTTCGTTTCGTGTGTCGTTTAGTGACCAGGTTGGCTCCTCCCTGTGTGGAGGTATTTTGTATTTGTTTCTTTACTTATCAGTAAAGTACGTTTTTATTGAGTTCTGTGGCCTGCGCCTGACCTCGACCCACCGCATTACACTGACACTCGTGACATAATTTCCCACCAAACAAGGACCAAGCAGCGTGCCCAGGAGGAGCAAACACCCTGGACACAGGTGGGGAAGATGTGGTCTTAGGAGGAGATATTCGCTGGAAAAGGACCCTGGGCGAAGGTAAAAGCCCAGGTAGGAGAGGATCAACGGCGACATCAACGGTGCCGGCCGAAGAGGAAGCCCGAGAGGCAGCCCCAATAAAAAATGTTGGGGGGGCTAAAGGGGTGATCGGGG